TTTGGGCCCTCCCCCCCCCCCCCCCCTCTGACCCCCCCCCCCCCCAAACCCTCCGACTCTCCTCTCGCTCCTCCGGTCCTCGGATAAGTTTTCAGCTCTCTCGTCCTGCACAATCCGAGGACCGCCGCCGCTGCTCGTCAACGTACCACGCCGGGCTTCATCTTCATTCATTCATCGATCGGCTTCCAGCCCCTCCCCCTGAGCGCTCACTCCTCACTGCTGCCCCGGACCGCTCCCTCGATGTTCTTGGGCAGCGACTGGCTCTGCGTGTCGCCGTGGCCCAGCTGGCCATAGCCACCCAAGCCCCAGCTCCAGACGGCGCCGTCGGCGGTGATGGCGAGGACGTGCCGGCCTTTAGCCGACACGGCGACGACGCGCTGGCCAGCCAAGGCCTCGATCTTCTTGGGCAGCAGCTGGTTCTGCTCGTCACCGTGGCCCAGCTTGCCAACGCGCCCAGCGCCCCAGCTCCAGAGGGCGCCGTCGGCGGAGATGGCGAGGCTGTGGGCGCTTCCAGCCGACACAGCGACGACGCGCCGGCCAGCAAAGGCCTCGACCTTATTCGGCAGCAGCTGGTTCTGCTCGTCACCGTGGCCCAGCTTGCCAACGCGCCCAGCGCCCCAGCTCATGACGGCGCCGTCGGCGGAGATGGCGAGGCTGTGGGCGCTTCCAGCCGACACAGCGACGACGCGCCGGCCAGCCAAGGCCTCGACCTTCTTCGGCAGCAGCTGGCGCTGCTCGTCGCCGTGGCCCAGCCGGCCATCGGCTCCCAAGCCCCAGCTAATGACGGCGCCGTCGGCGGTGATGGCGAGGCCGTGGCTGATTCCTGCCGACACGGCGACGACGCGCTGGCCAGCCAAGGCCTCGACCTTCTTGGGCAGCAGCTGGTTCTGCTCGTCGCCGTGGCCCAAGAGACCGGCTGCTCCCCAGCCCCAGCTCCAGACGGCGCCGTCGGCGGTGATGGCGAGGCTGTGGTACTCTCCAGCCGACACAGCGAGGACATGCTGGTCAGCAAAAGCCTCGACCTTCTTCGGCAGCAGCTGGTCCTCCTGGTCGCCGTGGCCCAACCGGCCGTCTTCTCCATCGCCCCAGCTCCAGACAGCTCCGTCGGCGGTGAGGGCGAGGCTGTGGCGGCTTGCAGCCGACACGCTCACGGCACGCTCGCCGCCCAGCGTCGACGGGAGACGGTTCGGCGTGTTGAGCCGCGTCACGCCCTCGCCGTGGCCGAGTAGCCATGCGATGCCCTCGAACCAGGTTGGCGGTGAGCCGCACGACGAGAGCCGCCCCTCGCCGTCGATGAAGACGCTGTGCGTTTCGCCCGCCGCCGCCCTCGCCGGCGGGTTGGACTCGCGCAGCAGCGCAGCGAAGCACAGCCACCGCACGGCACAGCCCTCGTCCTCCGGCTGCACCGGCAGCTCGAAGCCGCGCTCTTGCGCCCACAAGCGGATGCCCTCTACCGCAAGCGAGGCGTGGAAGAGGAGAGAGACGGCCGCGACGCGAGCGATGTCGGCAGGATCGCAGCGAGAGAGGGCGCGCGCGATGAGCTCCGTGGGGAGGTCGAGGAGGTGGGTGGGCGGCGGCGTGCTTTGCGAGGGGGCGGCGGTGGCGGCGGCGGCGGGGCGGCGGCGCGAGCGGCGGCGCGGCGGGGTGGACATCGCGAGGAAAAGAATTCTTCAACTTTTCTTTTTTAGACCTTGTTCCGGCTGCACTGTGTTTTCTTTCTTTCTACGATTCGCGCGACCGGCGAGGCGCGGGCGACGGCTTCCTCAGAAGCCGTCGCCCCCAACACAGGAGCAGTCACACCACTCCCACTCCGGCGCCCACCCCACCCCACTCCCCCGACATCAAAAACATGTATTGCTAAAAATCTCTCTCCCGACATCCCCACCCCCCTCACCGGACAAAACCTGAAGCCGCACTCGGCTCCGCCCCCCGCCCGACCTCCACCCGCGCGTGCGCCTGCCGCCCGCGCCGCCTCCCCCATGCGCGCCCTCGACGCCAGCCGCCTCGCCCGCCGCCTTTTTTTTGTACAGAGAGAGAGGAGACGGGACGTGCTGACGCGTGAAGCCGTCACGCTGACGGCGTATCATCATGCATGCAGCATGGGCTCAGGCCTCAGCAACAAAACTCGGCCAGAGGCCTGGCAGCATAAAATTTGACAAATCAAGGCGGTCGCGCGCAGCACGCGCACGATTCATGTAGTGAGTATTCTTGGTACGAAACCACGACGACACACACCTCCAGTCGACTCGCATCGGTTGCCTCCATGAACGGCGGAGCTATTCTCCAGACTCCACTCGCGTCCACACCACACCTACACCTGGCTCCAACGTGGACACACGCCCATAGCTGGGGACACTACTAGGCCACGCATACACACACGCGCGCGCACGATTCACACGCGACTCACTGTGACAAGGCGCAGACGACGTCCTCCCACAGAAGCAAGCAGTCGTCAGACTCCCATCATGGGGGGTGGTCGAAAGAATCCTCCCTTGGAAAATTCTTTTTGGCCGGTCCGTAAAATTCTTTTTACCGTCCTATGGCGGCGAGTATCGCTACGCCAGGGAGGACAAGGACGTCGATGTGCAGCTGCTTGCTGCTGTCCCAGTACCTCGATGAGGTGACTTGGACCACCAAGAGTTGGCTAGGGCTGCAGAAGCAGCGTATCTCAGTCGTTCTTCAACACGGCCATCGAAGAGCAGATTGTGAATGAGTGAGCTTGCCTGAGAGAGAGATTTTTAGCAATACCAAACAACTCTAACACTCACACGTAATTTGGGGCCTGGAGCCCTGTTCACGTGTTTTGCTTGCCTGCGGCGCGAGTGCACGGAGCTAAGTGCCTCGCCGTCCTCGCAGGAGTCGCTTAGGCGGCTCCCGTGGAGCGTGGTGTACCTGTGAGAGAGTTGTTTGCCATAAAAAGAATTTTACCACAACTCCCTCGCGAGTGTGCGAATAAAAGAATTTACCTATGAGCAGCTCTTGCTCACCGCTCGTCGCGCTTGCCTGACGATGGCCCTCACTCTGCTTCTCTCAACCGCCGCCGCGAGCCTCGTCGCTCGCGGGCCGCGCTTCGCTCCCGCCGCGGCGCGCGCTTTGCGATCTCCGGTGCCATTCGCAGCCGCTCCTGCCGCCGCCGCCACGGACACCGCCGCCGCCCGCGAGGCCCTCTTCGCCGCCGTCGCCGACTTTCGTGCTGCCGAGGAGGCGGAGGGCAAGACGTCCGTCGACTTTGGCGTCAAGGGCGGCGAGCTCGACAAGAAGAGCCGGGCGCCGGCCGACCTTCGCCAAGTCTGGACGGGCCGGGTGAGGGAGGCTGCACGCGCCGTCGAGTCCGCCATCGACACGCTCGCTCCGTTCAACCCGACGCCCGACGCGACAAAGCTGCTAGGCACGGTGGAGGGTGACCTGTGCCCGCTGCACGGCGCTTGGCGCAACGTCTGGACGACCGCAGCGGACGCGTCCTTCTCTCCCAACTCGACGCGCGGGGACGCCAACGTGTACAACGTGGTGGACGGGACCCGCTCCCGGATCACAAACCACATCGACTTCGCATCCGGCGCCCAGTTTCGGGTGCTGTTGAGGGCAACGGCGCTCTCTCCTCTCCGGGTCGGGCTGCGGTTTCGATTCGTGAAGGTCTCGCCACCGCGGCCGATCCTCGGCCTCCTGCGGACGATCGTGATTCCGGTGCCAGGTCCGTTCCTGACCCGCGTGCTGTCGCTGCTCGGCCGCGGGCCAAAGGAGGGGCCGCCGCCCGCCTACTTTGACGTCCTCTACCTGGACGACGAGCTGCGCGTGCATGTGACGGGGCAGGGAAATCTGTTTGTGCAGCGCCGAGCGCCATGGAGCCGGTAATATGCAACACAACAACCGGAGAAGAGAGGCGGCCCCATCGACTGATATAGTGTTGTGGCACGAACACAGGTACACCTTGAAAAAGAAAACAAAGCTTGACGAAGGTGACACGCTATTTGCTCTCCTTTCCTCTGGCCTTTGAGCACGGCCGAGTCGCCATTGACCAACTCGACGATGGCTTCTGCTCGCGATGTGTCCGATGACGACGTCGGACTGCCGGCGGGCCTCACACCGACGGCCGAAGGCAAGGTGAAGCGCCTTGTCGTGGTCGGAGAGTCCCGCGATGCCAAGAGTACGATCATCAATTTTCTGCGCAACCCAGAGGCTGTGACTCCGCGGGCCACGATGGAGACCTCGGAGCGCGTCGGCACAAGCATCCCATCGCCACCACCTTCGGCCCGCTGCTACCGCCGGTGGCCCTGGCGCAAGAAGCGAGCCTCCAAGCCGCACGTCAGACGCATTGACACGGCGCTCCCTGACGACGAGCGACTTCGGGAGGTGCTTTCCGCAGCGACTCAGGAGGTGCTTTCCGCTGTCCACAGCCGGGCGTCGGTCAGTGAGGTAGCCATGCGCGTCCAGATGCTCAACGCCTGTCTCGGCGAGATGCAACTGCCTGCGTCCAGGAGCCAGCCAGCGGCGGTGCCACGACTCGCGATGGAAAAACACGAGGTGACAGCGCCCTCCACAGGGGCGGCCAGCGCTCCGGCTGAGCGCTACTGCCCTGACCGCTCGCCCATCCGCGGCTTCCTAATCGACCTGGACGGAACCATGTACGAACCAGCTGGCCTCCTCCCCGGCGCCGCCGCGTTCTACGCCTGGCTAGTCGCCTCGCGCACACCACACATCTTCCTCTCCAACACCGGCGCCAAGAACTCGAGCGGCGTCCAGCGCAAGTTTCACTCGCCGCCCTTTTCGCTCAGTGGGCCTGAGGTGCCTCTCTCGCACATCCTGACGGCTGCAGAGACGCAGGTGGACTACCTGCTGAAGGAGGTGCCGCGGAACGCGCGCCTCTATGTCCTCTCTGGCGGCAGTGGCACGTGGCGGTCGGACCTGCTCACACGCGGCGGCGCTGAGGGTGCGGCGCTGGTTGGGACGTGGGACGTGCGCACTACTCTGTCTGCTGGCGAGGCCAAGGCGTGGGCGGCGCACCAGGCGCTCTGCCGGCACGAGGCCGCAAAGGCGGTGTGGGTGGTGTTTTTCCACGACGGCGAGGTGGGCGGCCCCGGCTGCGACACCAGGGAGTGGAGCTTCGAAGTGATCAAGATCGCAGGGTTTCTGCTCTCGCACGGCGCGCAGCTCGTCTACACGGCAGATGACGCCTTCAACCCCTCCGTTGACCCGGACCACCCCGGACTTGTCTTCCCCCTGCCCGGGCCCGGCAGTAGCAAGCAGCTGTACATGAACGAGCGACACCCTCTCACCACGTCTCGAATGGCTAAACATAGGCCCGGAATGTTCGCGGCGATGATGCGGACGCTGATGTACCCTGCTGGCAGCGAGTCGGTTGCGTGTGCGGGTAAGGGGGGCAACAAGGGGGGAGAGATGATGATGGAGCGGGCGCGGCAGATGCTCATCGCGCAGGGCCACGACGGAGACCCCTCCACAATCTGCATGGTGGGCGACCGCTTCGACACCGACATCCGCGCAGGCCGCTCCGCCGGATTCCGCACGTGTCTCGCCCTGAGCGGCTGCCACAACCTCGAGTCCCAGCGCCACTACCCCTCGGACGTGGCCGACTTTTTTGTGGCGGGCGTCGGCGACCTGGTGCCAGAGGGGGCGCGGCGGGCCAGCCTGAGAGAGCAGAGCAGCTGGGTGGGAGCCTCAAAGTCGCGGCTGGGAAGCCAGCCCGCCGAGGAGCTGGTGGAGTGGACCCTCATTCAGTCTGACCTGACCCGGTCGGGGCGCGGCGACGCCGCACGCGCCGAATTGCAGTCGGTGCTGCGGCGGTGCTTCGACGCGATCGACGTCAACGGCGACGGAACGGTGGACGAGACGGAGCTGGTGAGTGGGTTCGAGCAGGTCGGGCTGGGGAGGTTGGCGCTCGCCGCGGCGAGGAGTAGGGCGAGCGATTACGGTGGCCGCCTCTCCTTCGACCAGTTTGCGAACGCCGTCGAGCAGGCGATGCCCCACCTGAGCTCACGAGGCGCTGGCGAGGCACAACCGTGACCCCATGCCCCTCCCTCTCGCGCAGTCCCTTTGCGAGTGCGGCGTCGGCGACAGTCACGGCACGGAAGCCGTGGCTGTTGATCCAGACGCACGTGCCGCTCCACGGCTTGGTGTTGGGCTTGCAGGATCGTCTGCCGAGGGAAACGTAGGCGACCAGGGCGAGGCGGAGCGCAGTCAACACCTCGACCACGCCGATACGTGCACGCCGAGCCCGCGGTAGACACGAGCGAGCAGCACGTGATCCGTGTCCCTGCACTTTTAATGTCGTGGGGGGCTCCTGTCGTCCAGACCGCAGACGTGGAGTCGGAGGGACGCCCCCCCTTTTGCCCCACCACCTTGTGTCGGTGTGGAGAAGTTTACCTTACCTTACTGTACCGGTTACGCCTTTTCCCTCTTAGTCTTACCGCGCTAAACATGCCTGACCGTGTACGAAAAGCAAGAAAGGTATATACGCTCTCAGACACTCGGACTCGCAAGGGTCAAAAGACAAAACGTCAAAAGCTCACTCGTCGAGGACCGGGAGGCTGATCTCCAACGCCCCTCCGTTGCCCTGCATCACTGCACACCGCAGCGCGCGGTGGCGCGCGTGCCGCACCAGCGCCTCGCGCAGGGCGGCCTCGCCGCCCTTGCTGTGACTCCCGCGGCCAGTCACGACCACGCAGCGGCCGAGGACAGGCAGCACGGGCACGACCAGCTCGTCGAACTTGGCCTTCGCCTCGGCGACGTGCAGCCCGTGCAGGTCGATGCAGAGGCCCTCGGACTCGCCCGCGTCCGACCCCATCCCCAAGCTCTCGTCGTTCAGCGTCGCAAAGATGCTCGCCGCCGCGTTCTGCTGCGACGCCCGTAGAGTTTCGCGCAGCTCGTCGCAGCGGCCGCGGCAGGACCGCCACTCGGCGGAGACAGCGCCCGGCCCGAGCCTGTCGTCGCGCTTGTCCAGCGTCGCGAGCTTCTCAGCCTCGCGCTCCAGCTCTCTCTGGAGCGCGACGACGGGCCGCCTCGCCTCGAGGTAGACCTCCTGCTTGCGCCGCGAGTCGAGGCTGCCGCTGGTCCGGGCCGCCGCCCCGACAGCGTGCCTCGAGATGAGCTCGAAGAGCTCCTTCTCCACCGCCGCAGCGTCGAGGCGGCGGTGCACGAGCATCGCCGGCACGGCGTCGTGCAAGCCTGGCGCGACGGCGGTGGCGAGGTGGCCGGCGAGGAGGCGGAGGAGGTCGGACGCCTGGTAGGCCTGCAGCGCGAGGTTGTCGACGGTGGCCGGGTCGAGGAGCAGCGTGCAGTGTGGGCACTGGAAGCGTGTGGTCACGCTCTGCCCGTGAGGCACGAGCGGGTCCTGCCGCTCCTCGGTCGCCGGGACGGACTCGCGCATGTGGCAGAGGCAGGCTGCGCACGTAGCGTGGCCGCACTCGAGCACCGCCACGCTCGCGTCCGACAGGCTCGACCACTTCTCGAGGCAAATGGGGCACTGGCCGTCGGCGTCGCCGTTCCATGAGAACCCGGAGTTGTCGAGCAGCATGCCGCCACGCACCAGCTGCGCTGTATCGGCCGCCGCCACGGCCTCCTCCTCGCCCGCCTCCGTCTCGCGCTGAGCGACGGACGCCTCGACCCGCTCCATCGAAGGAAGCCGCTCGCGCGCGCCAATCAGCAGCCCCTCCGTACCCTCCGGCAAGGCAGACGCGTGCGGCGTGGCGGCCTCCACCGCCCGCCTCAGGCGCGAGGCGTCTCGCGTCTCGGAGGTGAGCACCGCGACGAGCGCGTCCCACGTGTCTTCTCCGGACGCGGCGACAGCGTCCGCCTTTGCTGCCGCGATCTTCTTGCGCCGAGCCGCCTTTGCCGCCTTTGCCGCGTGCTGCTTTGAGGCAAGCGCCTCCCTCGCCGCCGCCGCCGCCTCTGCCTCCCGTCTCTCCTCCTCCAGCCTCGCGCTCTCCTCGAGCGCCGCCGCCTGCTCCGCCTCCTCCGCCGCCGCCACCGCCTCTTCCGTGTCCACCGGCGCCTCGGGCCCAGCGCCGCCCTTCTTCTTCTTGCCCTTCTTCTGCCTCGCCAGCAGCTCCTCAGCGCGCCGCGCCGCATCTGCCTCCCTCGCCGCCGTAGCCTCCTCGGCCGCCCTCTCGGCCTCCACCCTCTCGGCCGCCGCCCTCTCGGCCACTGCCCTCGCCACCTTCGCCTCAATCTCCGCCCTCTTCGCCTCCCTCGCCGCCGCCTCAAAGGCGCGCTCGCACTCGGCGTGGCCCTTCTCCTTGGCCAGCTGCAGCGCCGTCTTGCCCTCGCCGTAGCGCTCCAAGGTGCGCGCCGCTGTATCTGCGCCCGCCCGCAGCAAGCAGAGCACGACGGCGAAGCGGTTCTGGCCGGCGGCGCACATTAGCGCGGTCCAGCCGTCGCTGCTCTGCAGGTTGATCTCCGCCCCACGCCGAATCAGCAAATCCACCACTCGCTCGTGGCCTTGGCCGGCGGCGAACAACAGCGCGGTGCTGCCATTGCTGTCCTGCAAGTCGATCTCCGCGCCGCGCTGCAGCAGCAAGTCGACCACCCGCTCGTGACCTTGGTCGGCGGCGAACAACAGCGCGGTGCTGCCATTGCTGTCCTGCTTGTTGATCTCCACGCCGTGCTGCAGCAGCAAGTCAACCACCCGCTCGTGGCCCATGGTGGCGGCGCTCATCAGCGCGGTGAAGCCGTCGCTGTCATGCAGGTTGACCTCCGCGCCGTGCCGCAGCAGCAGCTCGACCACACGCTCGTGGCCGTGGTAGGCGGCGCCCATCAGCAGCGTGACACCGTTCACGGCGTCCTCAGAGCTCATCAGCAGCGTGTAGGCACCCATCTCGTCTCTCTCGTACGTCGCGTCGACCCGCCCGCCGCCCTCGAGCCACGCCAGCACCGCCGCCTCGTCGCCTCGCTCAGCCGCTGCGACGACCTCGTCGGAGACTGCCACGCCACCGCCCGACGCCTGCTCTGCCGCCGGCGCCAGCGAAAGGTTCGCGGGCCGCACCCGCACGCACTCGGCGCTGCCCTCGATTGCCACCGCGTACCGCCCTAGCCTGAAACTCTGCGCCATGCCGCGCTGGCCGTTCAGCTCGGGGCGGGCCGAGAGCCCGCCGAGCACGACTCGCTTCCCGAGCAGCGGCGCGTCCACAGCTGCTGCCGCTGCCGCGCCCGAGGAAGCGCCGCCCGCCCCTGCCCTGCCCTCCACCGCCGCCGCCGCTGCCGCCGCCTCGCGCCGCGCCGCCTCCGCCTCCTCAGAGAAAGCTTTGACGCACTCGGTGTGGCTTTTCTCCTTGGCCAGCTGCAGCGCCGTACGCCCGCCCGAGGTGCGCGCCGCTGTGTCTGCGCCAGCCCGCAGCAAGCGGAGCACGACGGCGGAGTGGCCCTCCTGGCACGCAACGTGCAGGGGCGTGAAGCCGCGGCCCGTGGCTTGGTTGATCGCCGCGCCCGCTTCGAGGAGCAGCCGCACGCACTCGAGCTGGCCCTTCTGGCACGCCATGAACAGCGGCGTGGCGCCGTTGGCGTTGGCTTGGTCGACCGAAGCGCGGGCAGCGAGGAGCAGCCGCGCGATCTCGAGGTGGCCCTTCTGGCACGCGATGAACAGCGGTGTGAAGCCGCCGTCCTTGGCTTGGTTGACCGCCGCGCCAGCAGCGAGAAGCAGCCGCACGCACTCGAGCTGGCCCTCATGGCACGCGACGTACAGCGGCGTGACACCGTCGTCCGCGGCTTGGTTGACCGCCGCGCTGGCGCCGAGAAGCAGCTGGGCGATGTCGACGTGGCCCTTCTCGCACGCCTTGTACAGCGGCGTGGCGCCGTTGTTCGGGGCTTGGTTGACCGCCGCGCCAGCAGCGAGAAGCAGCCTGGCGATCTCGACGTGGCCCATCTGGCATGCCTTGCACAGCGGCGTGGCGCCGTCTTCCGTGACTTGGTCGACCGCCGCACTGGCCCCGAGGAGCAGCTGGGCGCACTCGAGGTGGCCCTCCTGGCACGCGGCGTACAGCGGCGTGGCGCCGCGGCCTGTGGCTTGGTTGATCACCGCGCGGGCAGCAAGGAGCAGCCGCGCGCACTCGAGCTGGCCCTTCTGGCACGCCATGAACAGCGGCGTGGCGCCGTCCTCCTTGGCTTGGTTGACCGCCGCACTGGCGCCGAGGAGCAGTCGCACGATCTCGAGGTGGCCCTTCTGGCACGCGATGATCAGCGGCGTGGCGCCGCCGACCGTGGCTTGGTTGATCGCCGCACTGGCCTCGAGGAGCAACCGAGAGATCTCGAGGCGGCCAAACTGGCACGCGACGTACAGCGGCGTGGCGCCGTTGACGTTGGCTTGGTCGACCGCCGCGCTGGCCTCGAGAACCAGCCGGGCGCACTCGAGGTGGCTGTTCTGGCACGCGATGAACAGCGGCGTGGTGCCATCGTCCATGGCTTGGTTGACCGCCGCACCCGCCCCGAGGAGCAGCTGGACGCACTCGAGGTGGCCCTCATAGCACGCGACGTACAGCGGCGTGGTGCCTTTGACAGTGGCTTGGTTGACCGCCGCGTTGGCGCCAAGAAGCAGCCGAACGCAGTCGAGCTGGCCCTCTTGGCACGCGACGAACAGCGCGGTGTAGCCGCCGCCAGCCGACGCCCCCACGCTCGCGCCGCTCTCGAGCAGCAGCCGCACCGCGTCGGCCTGCCCGTAGTAAGCGGCCCAGGTCAGCAGCGTGAAGAGGTTCTCGGCCTCGAGGCGCGCGTCGAGCAGGGCCGTGAGCGCCGCGCCGCGCGTCCGCCCGGCGAGGAGGGCGCGCAGCGAGCCCAGGTTGCCCTGGCGCAGCTCGGTGGGCACGGTCGGGCTGATGGCGCCGCTCATGGGCGAAGAAGAAACCACCCCGCCTGTGGGACGTCGGCCGTAGGGTCGCAGAGAGCCCCGACTGTCGCGTACTGCAAGAAGTCGACGGTCTTTGCCTCTGCAGATGGCACTGGTCCCAAGGGTACGATCGCCTCAGAGTACCCCAAGTCGCCCCACTGCAGAAGGAGCTCGGGCATCGGGATTTGGCGGGAGTGCAGAGCCTGGACGCACACCGTACGGAACGTATCCTCATCCACGTGCACCGTGCCGAACACGCCGAGGTCGGACAAGGCACCGAGGATGCGGCGCCAAGCCGCGGCCAATACGGCCAGCCGCAAGACGCTGAGTCTGTCAAAGTAGGTGGCCACAGCAGAAGACGCCCAATCTTGCACACGTGCAAGAACCATACCGGTCCTTAGAAAAAAGAAAAAAGCACGCAAGTACTCTCCGGTCTTCGGCCTGGCGCCCGCCCGAGCAACCTCGCTCGCTGGCAACCACTGATCACAACTCGCGTGTGCTGCTGCAACTACTCTCACACCATGACGTCGACCGAGCCTCCAGCGCCCGAGATCTTCCTACTTGTGCTGCGACTGCTCGAGGGCTCGCCATGCTCCGGTGCATACGAGGCCCTGCGGCGCGAGGCGGAGGCGCACGGCCTGCTCGGCGAGCGGGTCGACTGGCGCGGCGGCCGGCACACGGCGTCCCTGCAGGAAGCGGCGGCGGCAGCGGGAGGGCTCCCACCGCCGGAGCACCTGCAGCGGCTCCTATCGCAGCTGCTTGCGCTCTCGCAGACCCAGCAGCCGCCGTCCGAGCGAGTCGCCGCAGCGCCGGTCACGCTGCTGACGCAAGGGCCGCGCTCGCTCGTCACTGTTGGCGGCGAGGGCGACGGTGGCGGCGTGGAGGAGGGCGACGACGAGGGCGGCGAGGGTGCCGGCGAGGACCGGGCTGCAGCCGGTGGGCGGAGGCTTGTCAGCTTTGGCCGGCGGGCTCCTCCTCCGCCCAGCGCGCACTGGAGCCGCTCGGGCGGCGCTGCAGCTGCAGGAGGTGCGCCTGCCCTGCTGCACGTGGCGCTGGCGAGGGAGCTCGGCGCGAGGCCGTTCCCGAGGCGACTCCTGCTCGGCCTGCGGGGCGGCATCGGTAGCAGCAGTGGTGGCAGCAGCGGTGGCAGTGGCGGTGGCAGCGGCGACGGCGGTGGCAGCGGCAGCGCTCGCGGCGGCGGCGGCGGCGGCGGTGGCAGCAGCGGCAGCCGTCTCGGCGGCGGCGGCGGGATGATGTCGGCGGTAGCGGCGCTTCGCGGCCACCTCTGCGCCGCGTACTGCGTGCTCTTTGACCGGACGGGACGGAGGCTGATCACCGGCGCCGACGACGCCGCAGTCAAGGCTTGGAGCCAGACACTTGCGAGACACTTCCGAGACACTGCTCAGGGGCTTCCTCGACAGCGGTCAGGGCGGGTCGTACTTGCGGACACGTCCCGGACATGTGCCCGGCTCGTCCCAAGGTTTGGAGCTGCGTCAGCGGGCTGCTCCAGTTCACGCTGCGCGGGTCGCCGCCTCGCAGAGAGAGAGAGAGGGGCCGGCCGCACGAAGACACTTCCCCGACCGCCGCCCGGGCCCCGCCTGGTCTAGGCACGTGCGCGAGGTGACCGACCTGAAGCTCTCCCCCGCCAACGACCACCTCGTCTCTGCATCCAACGACACCACTGCGCGCGTGTGGCGCGCCGCAGCCGCCCTCTCGACTCGCCGGACCCTCCAGCAGCTCGACTCGCCTCACCGCCGCCGCCGTGCGCCGCACCCGCAGGGACCTCGCCTCCGGCACGCCCGTCGCCGTGCTCCTCCACCCGGCGCCAGTCATGTCCCTCTCCTTCTCCCCCGTCTTCGGGACCGCCTCCAGCGGCGAGGGCGAGGAGCGAGCTGGAGAGGGACATGCCGGAGAGGGGGAGGCGCCGCTGTCTGCTCGCGGCCAGCCCTTCCTGCTGACGGCGAGCGCGGGCCGAGGCACGCTTCTCGGACCCTTCTCGGACCCTTCCCCGGAGCGTCGCCCGACCCCGCCGGTAGGTGTGTGCGGACGGGGAGACCCGCCTCTACAACGCCCTCGAGTGGGAGACACCGCCCCTCCTCCTCGGCAGAGCCGCGGTGAGAAGAGAAGAGAAGAGAAGGGAAGGGAAGAGATGGCCCTCCTCCTCGGCAGAGCCGCGGTGAGAAGAGAAGAGAAGAGAAGGGAAGGGAAGAGATGGCCCTCCTCCTCGGCAGAGCCGCGGTGAGGACTAGACACTTCCTAGACACTTCCTAGACACCTCCTCCTCGAGAGCCGCGGTGCCGCGCGCGGTCGTCGCAGAGTTTTGACGATTGGCCGTCAACCACTCCTTCAATTACTCGCGGATAGGTGCCGTTTCCTAGACACTCCTAGACACTTCCTAGACACTTCCTCCTTGGCGCGGATAGGTGCCGCGCGCGGTCGTCGCAGCCGCGGCCGGCGACGGCGCCGCGTCGAACGGCGGCGGCACGGTCGTCGTCGAGGCGTTCGACGCGCCCGAGAGCGTCGCGTACCCCGCCCCGGCCATCGGAAGCTCTCCTGGAGTGTGCGCAATCTCGAGCGACGGCCTGTACGCGTGCGTCGGCAGCACGGTCCACCCGTACGTCCACTTGTGGCCTCTCGCGCCGGCGCACCGGCTCTTTGACGCCGCGGTGAGGGCGGGCGAGGGGCGAGGCACGCAGCGGCGAGAGACTGAGGCGCCCTCTCCCCCCTCTTCTGGACACAGGCGAGCCGGCGAGAGGCGAGCCGGCGGGAGGGGCAGGGGCAGGGGCAGGGGCAGGGGCAGCTGGCACAGGGCGGCGGGGACGGGTGCGCCCTCGCGCCGCACGAGCGGCCTTGGGCCTTGGCGGGCCACCGCGCGGAGCTGACGAGCGCGAGCTTCTCGCCGGCAAGGCGCGGGCTGCCCCCCCCCCCCCCCCACCGCTAACCCACTGGTACCTCAAGGTGATGGATGAACGAGCCTCATGAACCACTCGCGAACCACTCTCAGGCACGAGCTGCTCACCGGCAGCTAATTAACAGCTAATTAGCTCTTAATTAGGCACGAGCTGCTCACCGGCAGCCGAGACGGCACGGCGAGGGTGTGGAGGTGGGAGGGCGGGTCCCACTCGGAGCCGACGGCGCTCGTCCTCGCGCCGCGCGCCGCGTCGACGCCGGTGCTCTCCCCTCGCGCTCCACTGATGCATGAGTACTTTCTCATCATAAGAGTCGTGAGCAGGTGCACGCCCTCCTCCTCTTCATCCGCCTCAAGTGTGAACAGCGCCTCTTCACACCTCCAGCTGTGAGCAGGTGCACGCCCTCGCGCTCCACTCGCAGAGCGGCGCCAAGCCGCCGGCGCTGTGGATCGACGCCGTCGAGTGGAGCATGAATAATTAATAATTAATCGTTAATTAGTTACTTAATTAGGCGCTGTGGATCGACGCCGTCGAGTGGAGCATGAATAATTAATAATTAATCGTTAATTAGTTACTTAATTAGGCGCTGTGGATCGACGCCGTCGAGTGGAGCATGAATAATTAATAATTAATCGTTAATTAGTTACTTAATTAGGCGCTGTGGATCGACGCCGTCGAGTGGAGCATGAATAATTAATAATTAATCGTTAATTAGTTACTTAATTAGGCGCTGTGGATCGACGCCGTCGAGTGGAGCATGAATAATTAATAATTAATCGTTAATTAGTTACTTAATTAGGCGCTGTGGATCGACGCCGTCGAGTGGAGCATGAATAATTAATAATTAATCGTTAATTAGTTACTTAATTAGGCGCTGTGGATCGACGCCGTCGAGTGGAGCATGAATAATTAATAATTAATCGTTAATTAGTTACTTAATTAGGCGCTGTGGATCGACGCCGTCGAGTGGAGCAGCGACGGGCGCTTCGCCGTCACCGCCGAGTCACTCCACAAGTAGACGCCCCCTCCGAGCCCTCCCTGCGCCCCTCCCCCGCCCCCGGCTCCGAGCCTCCTCCCCCGCCCCTCCCCGCAGGCAGACGCGCGAGGAGCCCTGCCTCTCGGCGGCGCTGCGCGCGTGGAGCAGCTGCAGCGGCGCATGCCTCGCAACCTTCTCCGAGGGACCTCTCCCCACCCACGTCCTGCGCGCCCACCCGCACGACCCGTCCGGTCTTTGCCGCCGCCGGCTACGACGGCGAGCCGCACCAGCCGCCGCGGCAGTGCACGCCGCGTCGCCGCCGCGTGCACGACGTGACCGCGGCCCCGATTCCCTCTCTCAGGTGAGCTCCGGCTGTGGGCTGCTTGTTTTTCTTTTTCCGCCGGGTTATTTTTCTTTTTCCTCTGTCAGGCGAGCTCCGGCTGTGGGATGCTCCGGGCGGGAGGCTGCTCTCCTCGCACGCCGTGCCCGAGCCGGCGGCGGCGGACGTCAACGCCGCCGCGCGAGAGGCGGCCCGACACCCCGAGATTGCCCGAGACACCCCGAGATTGCCCGAGATGACCGTGCCGCCCGCCGCTCGTCTTTCGAGCGCGGGCTTCCCTGTGTGCCTTCCGAGTGCTTGCCGCAAGAGCCTTCTCCGGGCCTCCGCCCCGCAGGTCTTCGATGGCGCCTTCTCGCCCGATGGGCTCTACTTCGCCGCCACCAACGCCTCGGGCGTGGCGTGGGTCACCGGGGTGGACGGCGGCTTCGGCGGCGCGCTCGCGAGGGCGCCGTACGCCCAGTTCTTCTCGTCCGACTTCCACGCGCTCGTGCATGACGCGCGCGGCAACGCGCACGACGTCAACCTCGGCTGCGAGCCGCACCGCGCGCCGCGGCTGCCGCTCTGCGACGAGCGAGGCGCGAGAGGACCCAAGACCGAGAGTACCCGAGAGTAGAGGACCCGAGAGTGCCGAGAGTGCCGAGAGGAGCCGAGAGGAGCCGAGAGGAGCCGAGAGGAGCCGAGAGGAGCTGAGAGGAGCCGAGAGGAGCCGAGAGGACCCGAGAGGACCCGAGAGGACCCGAGAGGACCCGAGAGGACCCGAGAGGACCTGAGAGGACCCGAGAGTGCCGAGAGGACCTCGAGAGGACCCGAGAGGACCCGCTCTGCGACGAGCGAGGCGCGCTCCACGCCGCTCCTCCGGCGCGTCTTACTCATCACCGCCCTCACCAGAGCGACATCCTCCCCACCCAGGCACTCCGCACGGCGACGCCTTCCAGCGACCCGCCTCGCTCGACCCGCTGTTGCTCGAGGGGTACGACGCGGAGCAGGCCGCCCTCGCGCGCGAGACGGCGGCGGCGGCGGAGGCCGAGGCGGCGGCGGCCGCGGCGGCGGTGGCGGCCGCGGAGGCGGCGTTGTCCAGCCGCTCCACGCGGAGGAGCGGCAAGCTGCCGATGGCGCCGCCCCCCGCCCCCCTCGTCGTCTCTGCGGCGGCCGCTTCCGGCGCGAGTGCGTGCGATGCCGCCGAGCCGTCGCCCCTCCACTGGGGGAACCGGCCCGCCCACCACGGCAGCGCGGCCGCAGCGCGCGGGGCGCCGAGCAGCAGCGCCGCCGCCGAGGTGCAGCAGCAGCCGTCTCTCGGCGACGGCGGCGACGACGACGACGACTCCTGCTCGGACTACGAGGCGGAGGTTGGGGGCTCGACGGGGGACGAGAGCGGCAGCGAGAGCGACGAGACGCAGTCGAGCGGCGCCTACGTCTCCGAGGGCTCGGACGGCTCAGGCTCCGACTCGGACACCCGCCGCAGCCGCCGAGGCGGCGGTACCAAGCGCGGAGGCGCCAAGCGCGGCCGCGGCGGCGCGCGCCTCGCCTCGCGCCGCTCGCGCAGCGGCGTCGCGCGCGCGGCCGCGATGGACATGGCGGCGTCGGACGACGAGACCGCGCTGCTGGTAGCGACGGGGCGAGCTCTCGCGCGTTCGCGCGGCGCCGGCCGCAAGTCGTCCCGCCGCCGGCAGCAGCAGCGGCAGCCGCGCCAGGCCCGGCAGCCTGCCCGCGCGCGGCTGAGGCTCCTCTCGACGCGGGGTGCGGCGGTGCGTGCCGAGGCGAGGAGGCTCGAGGCGGAGGCGGCCGAGGCGGTCGAGGCGGCAGAGCTCAGCGAGGCGGCGGAGGCGCGAGCTACGAGGAGAGCTGCCGCGCTGGCTGCTGCAGAGGCGGCGGCGGAGGCGGAGGCGGAGGCGGCGGCGTCGCGCGCGTGGGTGCTGCGGCCGCGCGCCGAGAGGGCCGAGTACTTGCCGCAGGTCGGCGACCGCGTCGTGTACCTGCGGAGGGCGCACGCCGCGGCGCTGGCGGCCCAGCCCGACTCGTCGCCGGTCACTGCGGCGGCGGTGCCAGAGGCGGTGCCAGAGGCGGTGCCAGAGGCGGTGCCAGAGGCGGTGCCAGAGGCGGTGCCGGAGGTGGTACTGGCGGTCCGGGCGGTCACTTTGGTGCTGGCGGGGGCATCCGCAGCGGCGCCGGCGGAGGAGGCGCCGGCGGAGGAGGCGGCGGAGGGGGCATCGCCGGATGCACCGGTGGAGGAGGCATCGGCGGAGGGGCTGGCGGAGGTGGCGGCGGAGGTGGCGGCGGAGGTGGCGGTGGAGGGGATGGCGGTGGAGCCGGCGGCAGTGGTGGAGGGGGAGGGGGGAGGCGTCGGCGCCGAGGGCGGGTCTGGCGGTGGCGAGGGCGGCGGCGAGGACGGCGGCGGCTTTGAGGGCGGCGGCGAGAGCGAGAGTAGCGGTGTGACGGAGGGCCAGGAGGATGGCGAGGCGAGGGGAGAGGGCGGTGGCGAGAGGGGAGGTGCATGTGGCGGCGGCGAGAGCGGCGCGCGAGACCGAGGAGGCGCTGCGAGGGGCAGCGGCTTTGGGAGGGGCGTCGGCGGGGAGGCGGCACCGCCCTTCGAGTTGCACCACGCGCTGCCTCTCGCGGTGCCGTGCGTGGTGCGAGCCGTCGAGTACGAGGCGGCCGGGCCTGCTGCCGCGGTGGTGCTGCGCGTCACCGTCGGCGTGGACGCAGGTTTGCTCGGCGGCGGCGAGGGCGGCGAGGGCGGGCGGGGAGAGGGCGGGGAGGGAGGGGAGGGGGGAGGGGAGGGGAGGGAGGAGTTGTGGTGCTTGCGCGTGCGCGGGCCGGCGAGCGGCTGCGCCGACTTCGTCGTGCCCGAGGGGCGGTACGAGCACGCGCGGCGAGCTTGGGCGCGCGCCGAGGTTGGAGAGCGGCTGCTCGCCCCGTTCCTCGTCAGCCACGGCCAGTGCGGCGGCGAGTACCGCTGGTTCGAGGGGCGGCTCACCGCGGTGCGCCGGCCGGCCACCGACGCCTTCTCTGCTGACGCTGCCTCGTCCGCTGCTTGCCACGCCGCCTCCTCGTCCGCTGCTTGCCACGCCGCCTCCTCGTCGTCTACCCCGTCGTCGTCCGCCGCCACCGCCTCCTTCGGCGTGGGCAGCGGAGGCGCGGGTGCCGAGGGGGTCGGGGCGGAGGAGGGCGGGCGAGGGGCGGAGGAGGGCGGGCGAGGGGCGGAGGAGGGCGGGCGAGGGGCGGAGGAGGGCGGGCGAGGGGCGGAGGAGGGCGGGCGAGGGCGGGAGGACCTCTTCGAGAGCTTCTCCGTCTTGTGGGTGGAGAAGCCGCTCCCGCCTAAAGACTGCGACTTCCTCCCCCGAGAGTGCGACGCCTCCTCCGGAGCGCGGCCCGAGCAGCCGGCGGTGGAGGCGAGCGCCTCACAGGGCGCAAGCGGAGAGGTCGCCGCCGACGCGAGCGGCGCGGAGAGGGAGGGAGAGAGGGGACGCGTCGAGCCGCCTTCCCCCGCCGGCGCCACGTGCGCGCGCTGCACGCGGGGCCGCTTCTGCGACAAGCCGCCGCGGCACGTCGGGCGCTGCAACCGGGGGCTGCAGGCTGTGCGGCCCGGAGCACCGCTGGTCGCGTCCGAGGCGACCGAAGGTGCCGCGGTCGTCGTCTTCTTCTCCGACGCGGAGCGCTGGTGCCGCGCCGGATCGGCGGCGAGGAGCCGCTCGCGACGGCTGGCCTCGCGACACGCCCCTCCCCACCGCTGCAGGTACCGCGGCGAGATCACCGCGGTGCACGGCGGCGCGGAGGGCGGCACCTTCACGGTGGCTCCGAGGAGGGGGGCGAGGAGAGTGATGGAGCCTTGTCCCTCTGAGCCGCCCCGTGGACCCCTCCGGCGCAGGTGCTCTTTGAGGACGGAGACGAGGACGAGACGGTTCCGCTCGCTGAGCTCTTAATTAACTCTTAATTAACTCTCAATTAACTCTCAATTAGGACGAGACGGTTCCGCTCGCTGAGCTCCACCATGAGGAGATCCGCGACCCCTTCCGCGACCCCTCCTTCGGGAGCAGCTCGGGCGGAGGCGGGGCCGAGGAGGCGGAGGCGGCCGAGGCGGCCGAGGCGGCCGAGGCGGCCGAGGTGATGGCGGTGGTGGAGGCGGCGGAGGCGGCAGAGGCGGCGGAGGCGGCGGCGGTGGCGGAGGGGGCCGAGGCGGCTGAGGCCGCGGGGAGGGCGGGCGGCGGAGAGGGCGGAGAGGGCGGAGAGGGCGGAGAGGACGTGGCCGTGAGCTGCGAGGAGGTTAGTCCGTGGGAGGTGGACGTGGCTGGATCGACGATGCACGTGCTGCCGCGCCTCGCGCCGCCGCTCGCCGCCGCCGCCGCAGAGCAGCTCGAGGCGTTTGCGGTCCTGCCCGCCGCCGCGCCGTTCCGCTGCCGAGGCCCGCCGCCAGAGCAGACGGCCCTGCCTTGGGGCTGGCCGGTGGCGACCGAGGTGAGGGCGACCGCAGCGCCGCCCTCCGATGCGGTGATCGCCGCAGCGGACGTCGTCATCGCCGCCGACGCCGTCGTGGTTGCCTCCTCTCCCGCGGCGCCTCCTCCGCCGCTGACCCCTCCCGTCGGTCTCGAGCTGCTGCTCGAGCGGCGATCGCTCTGGCCGCGAGCGCCGCCGCCGCCTTCGGTGGCGCGTCACCGGGAGAGCTCCACCGCCGTAGGCTCCGCTCGGGCTACTACCGGCAGCGGGAGGCGCTGCTGCACGACGCGGAGACGTGCGCCGCTCAGGCGCGCGCAAAGCAGCCGGGCGGCGGCGCTGCGGACTGCAGCATTGGGGCGGAGGAGGCGTCGATCGCCCTGGCCGCATCGCTGGAGCCGGCCCTCCTCGCCGCCGCCCGCGGCGACCCGTGGCGCGAGCTGCACGACGCGGGCGTCGCGGCTCTGGAGCCTTCGGTCGTTGGCGAGGCGGCGCAGGCGGAGGAGGCGCGCAGGGCGAGGCGCGAGGCGGGGTGGGTTGTCGGGAGGTCGCGCGCGTCGGCGAAGAGGCTGCGGGGCGGCCGCGCCGAGCCGAGGGCGATCATCGCGGCCGACGCGTCGGGCTCGGGCCGGCCGCAGAGGCGCGCGGCGATGCTTTTCGCGTTCGGAGGGTGGAGCTGCGCAGCGCGACACGCGGGCCGAGCGGACCATAGGCGGGCGGTCAAGCGGCGGGCGATTGAGTCGGACAGCGAGAGCGGCTCCGAGAATGGGGAGAGCGAAAGTGGCGGCGGGGCAGAGGCCGAGCGTGATGCGCGGGCGGCACGTCGCGAGGGTGGGGAGACTCGTTCGCTCGAGGGCAGCGCTCACCGGCCGGGCTTCAAGATCCGGCGCGCGCAAACTCGGGGGAAGGAGGGAGGGGCGTCACACATCGCTGACGCTGAGCGTGTCTTTGTGGCTCTAGGTTGCGGATCGACGAGGAGGCGGGTGAGGCCTTCCGGGTGGACAGTGGGGAGCAGGCGAGCGAGGCGGGCGCGGCCGGTGAGTCGACGCAGCGGAGAGCGGCCAAGAGGATCCGGGAGCAGTAGGGAGCGCGTGGCTCGAGATGGTGAGACTTTATCAGCGATTTTCAGGAAACAGAGTTTGTGGATCAGTTTTCGTTTCAGTTCCTCAACCGGCGTACTGCATGCACATGCACATGTTTTAGAGAGGCTTCATGTACATCGCTACAAAGAGCTTGGGCACTGGCTTGGGGGCGAATCGAGTCTCGTGTGTGCGTAAAAGAAAGAAAGAAAACAGACACCCAAGGGAGGGATGGGAGGACGGCATCGTGTGTAAAAGAAAGAAAGAAAACAGACAACCCAAGCAAGGGAGGGATGGGAGGACGGCACGCCGCTGCCACCACACAGGGATTTTAAGGAGAGGAGTGTGGTGCTAGCCGTCGCCCACCCTTTAAACCCTTGGTCGTCTGCCTCTTTCTATCTCCCTTCGCAGTCCCTCGCCGATTCTCGCTGCAACCTTCATGCCACCTCGCGGTCGTCCCACTCTCGTCGTTCTCCCTCCTGTCGCTTCCTCCTCTGTCGCGTCGCTCTCGTCTGCCTCATCCTGCCGGCACCAACTTGATTCCCGGATCGGCGTCTCCCCCTCCCCCTATGTGCCGCCACCCCCCTCCAATCCGTAATTCCGTAAAATCGCGCGAAAAGCGCCCTAATCGAGCTGGAGAGCGGCCCCCAGCCGCATGGGAGCGTGCCCCAGCTAGCAGGAGGCGTTAGACGTACTTTCGGAAGGACTTTCGGCGACGTCCGTTCCCTTGGACACGTCGACAAATGGCACCGACCGACGCAGCTCAGCATTGTGCTGGAGCGCCTGCTCAACGAACTCGGAATAGCCAACCTCAGTATGTTCGAGACTGTGCTCATGCACGATACAGGCGCGGTGCTCGACGCGATCCGAAGCACCGCTGCAGCCGCAGAGGCTGGTGCGGCGGTTTATGCCAGCTCGGCCACGAGCAATGTTGTTGTGTGCCAAAGCAGCACTGCTACCGCTGGCGCAATCTCTGTTCAGCACGAGGGCAGCATCTCCCGCACTCTCGTCAGCACAGACGCGCAAACCACGCTAAAGGGCTCGGACATCCATGCAGCCGCGAGTAGTGCGAGTGCTGAGATGCTGCTCCGGCAGGAGTTGGAAGAGAAGTTGCGGTCACAGACCAAGGAGCTCGCTTCTGAGCAGCGCTCTGCGAACGCTATGAAGAAGGCGCTCGCGTCGGCGCGGGATGAGCTTGCTGCGGCACAAGAGCTGAGGCGCTCCGACTGCGACAACCTGAGGACAGCGCAGCAGGCTGCTAAACGCGACATCAAAAGCGGCTGAGCGGATGGCCGACCAGGCAAATCATGCAGCTCGAGCTGAGTGTGAGTGGCGTATCGGCGAGATGCGGGCCAAGATGCAGGCCGAGCTGCGCGAGCAGCTCGACGCGCTGCAGATTTCGATGGAGGCAGAGGCGAGGCGCGCTGATGCCGCAGAGGCAGAGAGGTCAAGGCTGTACGACAAGATGGAGGGGATTATGCGCACGCGTGAGGGGTTGATCGACGCACTCGCAGAGGCGCAGCGCAAGCGCGAACAAGTGATTGTTAAGAGATATACGTAGCGTTACAGTCGTACGGTCGTCGACCCTCCCACCGTGTGGGCCGCCCGGACCCCGGAGAGCGCGCTGCGCGCAGCGCTGCGCGAGCATTGGAGAGGCCAGCCCCCGGCTTCTCAGCATGTCGCGAGCGCTGAGTCTCTGCCTGCCTGGTAGCTGGGTGCGGTGGGCGTGGGGGACTCCCTGGTGGCTTTTGGTTACAAATTTACGGATTTACGGATTTACGGATCGACCCCCCTCCCTCCCCGTCCCGCGACCCGGCCGTGAGACGCCGATCCGGGAATCAAGTTGGTGCCGGCTGCGAGCCGCCGCCGCCTGCCGATCCCTTGCTCTCGCGGCTTCTCCCGCCTTTCGGCGCAACTCTGCCCTGCTCGCGGCATATTTTGGCCCCTCGAGTTTATCGAGCTCTCCTCGCGCAAGGACGACTCTTCTGACGCCCACTGCGGAAGGCCCCCGCACGGGGGGTCCCGGCCGACGTCATGATCGTCCGCCAAGGGTCTGGGGTCGCCCAGGCAAGTGGCCCAAATCCGATGAGTTTTCCAAGTGTGAACAGTGTTTCGAAGATACGCAGTGCCGCATTTGAGCATGAATCAGCGTCCTTTCTGCTGGCATCACGCATAGGAGAAGCCGAGAGGCACAAGGTCCTCCAATTTGCCGGATCAGCAGCGCGGTCTGGAGCGTGGTTGTGGCGTATGCGTTTGCCCCCGCAGTCTGAATAGGCCAACGCCCGAACTCATACTGCGCTCTGTGCAGCCTTTTCAAGCAGTGAACGGGACCGGCGAAGTTGCGCCACCACTATCGTTGTCGTTCCTGCCACGCACACTGTGCGTTGAATAAAGACACCGGCTTGGGCGGCCGTGGGTTGCAGGCACACCGGCCATCTACACCTCCCTGACCTACGAGCATAAGTGTCTTCCCCCCCCCCTCGCACACAGGATTGACGCTGCTCTCGGCGCTCGCTCCCTCCTCGCCGCCGCGAAAGGACCAGGCGTGCCCGCGCGCCGCGGGGGCTCTGCAGACAGCCAGACCGACTTTTTTCAGACTGGACTATTCTGGATACTAAGGGTATGTGCAGCTAGATCTCACTGAGCTGAGCTCATATCTGCCCTTGGTACCCTGTTTTGAGTTCGGGAATGCCTTCAGTATCCTGTTTCCGTGTACGGAGGGCCGCGTCCGGACGATCATGACGTCGGCCGGGACCCCCCGTGCGGGGGCCTTCCCACTGCGATCATTTGCCGCCAAGTCATATCGTTGCTCAGGTCGACTCTCTCTCTTCGAACACTTGTACCTCCACGGTCGGTGTTGGCGCTGGGGTCCCCTTCGGGTGCATCGTTACAGCTGACGACGGGATTACCACCGGTCGGTGTTTCGTCCTCCTCGGAGTCTTCTTCCCCGGCTTCCTCCCGTTCGGCTCTACGTTCAGCGTGGCGCACCCTCCATGCCGTGAATCGTAATAAATAAATAAATAGAGCAGTCATCTCAGGGAGAGATGGGCGAGGCACAGCGGATTTCTCCGCAGCGGCAGCGGATTTCTTTTTCGGGAGTTTAGTTGTAAGATTCTTTTTCGCAGCTGCCGTGTGTCCCGAACCGCTGTGATGTGGGACGCGAACATCGGACCCGGCTGCGCCGACTCGCCCGGCGTCTCGCACCTCCCGCGCATCTCGCCGCTCCTCTGGGTCGGCAACGAGATCGCGCCGTCGGTCGGCAGCTTCGACGTCGTGGTCTCGACCGTTCCGCCGCGAAGTTGCAGGACGGGCGCGAGGCAGCCCGAGCTGACGACTCACGCTATCATGTTTGCCGACGGCCAGGGCAGCGAGACTGCGGCGGGCGTCGCCTTTGCGAAGCGGTGCATCCTCGAGGGCGCCGAGTGCGTAGCGGCTGCTGTGGCCGCGGGCAAGTCCGTCCTCGTCCACTGCGCGTGGGGCCAGAACCGCTCCTGCGCGATCTGCTGCGCTTTTGCCGTCTTGCACAGGAGTATGTCGGCTAACGAGGCTATCGACTACGTTCGCGAGCGAAACATCGCCGAGCGATCATACGCCGGTCAGCAGCCGCCGGGCGGCGCGATGCACAACCGGGTCTTCCGAGAGATCATTCGCGAGTTGGAGAGAGAGCGCGACGCCGAGGCGGAGGAGACGGCGGAGACTGCGGAGGAGGCGGCGGCGCGGGAAGCGGCCGCCGGCACAGCGGCGCCACATCCTCGAGCGGCTCATGAAGACGAAGGTGGGTGACCGGCTGACGTTTATTGAGTAGAGAGAGCGGGGGGCGCGGGCGGGCGCTCTGGCGCAAAACATTGCGGTCCATATGGTAAGGTAAGGTAAGGTAAGGTAAACTTCTCCACACACACGAGGTGGTGGGGTCCATATGGGGCGCTCCATGTGACGATTGTTATAAGAGGTATACTCCATTGAGATCTTGGCATTTGGCTGCACCAGTCACGTCACACTCGAGATATGTGGCGGATATGCGACACATATACGAGGCCGCACCGGGCTCGGAGGGTGCTGCTGAAAAACACACGCTCTGCGTGGTTATCACGCAGCCTCGATCTCCTCATCCACTGGCCAGGAGAGCACCGGCATCCCTCCTCCCGGCTTGCACCCCGGGGCCAATGAGGCCCCATCTGGGTCGTCGAGGTCCCGGCACTCATACTCCTCCTCCATCGCCCTCTTGCCCTTGTCGAACGCTTGCGCGATGGCGCGGTCGAAGTCAAGCAAGCTGATGTCGGGGTGGTGGCCTTGCCGCTCTCGCGGGACGCACGCGGCAAAGTGCGAGAAGAATGCGCTGCAGAAGAGAAAGCAGGCGCTGTCAAGCGCGCGTGTCGACCACGCGACGATGCAGCTTCCGGCCGCGCCCCTCGTCGCAAAGGTCTGCCGAAGCTCCGCCGCAAACGCGTCCGACTCGCAAAAGTCGAGGTAGATCAGCTTGGGCCACGCCCCGCTGCTGCAGAGCCTTTCCCCGAGGGCTTTCGCGGAGAGGGAGTGCAGCTTGCCAGCCTTGTTCGCGCCCGCAAAGACGATCCCGCCCCCCCGCTTCTTGTCGGCGCCGTGGCCGGAAACGTAGAGGATGTCGAATCTGCGCTTAGAAAGGGCCGCTGTCAAATCACTGGTCCGGACGCCAAGGTTCAGAGACATCGTCTCGCGAAGGGTTCGCATGCGAACGCGCATAATGGTGGCAGTGCAGATGCCATCCGCGAGGCCCTCAGTAGTTAGGGCGATGCACCTTACCGTGCAGTGTGTCCACGTGTCACAGAGACTGTCAGCGGCGCCGGAGTGCAGCGCGAGTGGCGTGCAGCAACGTGCTATGGTTGTGGCCCACCCCCGCTGCGAACAGAAGAAATGGCCGTCCAAGTGCTCTCCCAAGAGCCAAGTGCTCCACCAGCTCCTCCCGGACCGCCGCCACTCCGCCTGATGATGACGGCGAGCGGGCGAATTTTCGAAACATAATCCATAAAAAAATACACCAAAATCTCTCGCGGCGCCCCGGCCAGCAGCCCAGCACCCACAGCACACCCGTGCCGCGAAGTGTGATCCTATCTGTGATCTGTAAGGGTCCGCCCGCAGGCGCATTTTGTATACCGAGGCGGTGCCCGGTGCCGAACCTGTCGGACCTTAAGACAGCTTTGTAGATCCCCGGGCGAGGGTGGTGGCGTCCCCGTCGGGAGGGGCTGTCTGCAGTGGTGGCGGCCTACCGTCACCCGCCCCGCCGCCAGTGTGTAGTCACTAGTCTGGAGAGAGCCAGCGTGAAATCAAAAGTAAAAAAATCTCTTTTAAGTGCCTCATGCTGTACCTATACGAGACTAGGCGTCTGTGGCATCTCGGAACTTACAGCCGTAGAGACTGACACCATAGAAGCGTGCCAGTATCTCGGAACTAGGCAACAGCACCCACTCGGAGTGGGTGTCATCCCAGCGAGCGTCGTCCTTGTTGCCGTCCTCCTCGTCGCCGTCTTCCTCCTCGCTCTCCTCCTCCTCCTCCTCCTCATGGTGAACACTCTCCTCGTCGCTGTCTCGCTCGTCGCTCTCCTCATCGTCGTCAACCTGGCTCATCGCGATGCAATGCAGCACATGCCCCGCCGCAAGCAGCCTCGCCGCGAGTCGCCGCCCGAGCTCGAGCCAAACGGCATTCACCATGGGGACAGTGTGTCGCAGGATGCCGGCACGTTTTGCGAGCCTAAGCACGATTCGCCGGGCTGTTTCCTCTGGCAAAAGCGTGAGCATGCGCCGAATTTCAGCGAGTTGCGCCGTTTGACCCCAACAGCGTTCGAGCCAGCTGTACCCCCCGTGCTGTGGAGTCCCATTGAGGGGCGGAGAGAGATCATTCCTCTGCCCATCAATTTCGTTGCCAGACATGCGCACGGCCAGCTGCACGTCCCTTGCGCCGACCTCCACGCGTGCACACTGGAGCTCGGATCTTTCATCCGGAGGGTCCGGGCAAGAGAGAGACCGATGTTCGGCAGCCTGTCTGCTGGCAACCAGCAGGCGCATTGCATCGGCCTCGAAGAGCGTCGCCAGCGCATGCGCTGCCTGCCTGCGAAGATGCATTCGAAAGCCGCAAGCTCGGCTTCCCTCTGGCGGGCGCCACTGCATCGCCTGGACTGCATTCAAGTTTGCCGCGATCCACAGATTGCCTGCATCGATTGGTTCAGATCTGCTGAGCTCTCCTTGCCAGGCCAGATCGAATAGCTTTTCCACGAACGCGAGCAGCTTGGCTGGAGGGTTTAAGCGGTCGCTGTCACCCTTCGGGATCGCTTCATAAGCGGTCGACTCTTCAGCGCTTCTGAGCTCAGCCAAGAGAATGGGGTCTGTCGACCTCATCTGTTCTGTGCGTGACCAGGCCGCCGCGCACTCCCAGCGCGTCTTCTTCATCTTGTCGCCTGGGATCGGCAACCACTCTGCGGCGGCGTCGTGCTGCACAAGCAGAGCTGCGGCAGCAGCGCGAAACGGCTTGCACACGGCCGATCGCTCCGTGGCGGTGACATGAAACGTCTCCTCGTCCGCAGCCGCATGCCGTAAGACGTAGAGCAGGATGTCTTCGGGCAGGGACAGCAGCGTCGTCGGGGTCTTGCGCCCAGGTGTGCCGCTCATGGCTCTGCACGGTCTGGGGCGCGTTACGTGTTTCTTTTTCGTGCGGCGGGCCCTTTCGCCGTTAACATGGGGGCACCTAACGGCGACGCTCACCTCTCGTCCTCAGTCCTCTACACAGTACCGCGACACGCTAAAAGCCGCACAGTCAGCAAACGCTGAGCGGCAAACAACACATCAACACACACACACGACAACAACGTTAGATTTGTTTGGTATTGCTAAAAATCACACACGACACTCGCACACACTACGATATAGCAGGGGCAGGTTGAAATAAATAAATAAACAAAGTGCAGTAGAAAATCCACAAATCGCAAACATAGAAACCAAAAAAAACAAATGACGTGTGAGTGTTAGAGTTGTTTGGTATTGCTAAAAATCTCATAAAATCTCTCTCTCTCAAAAATCTCTCTCTCTAGAACGTTGGGAAGAGGCACGAGGAGGGCGGCGACCTCAACCGACTATGGAGGACCCGTCAGCAGACGACGCAGGGCGGACGACGGTGGGACGCCTGTCGGTCGGCGACATGAACCGAAACCTTCCACCGCAGCGGAGGCCATTCTCGCGCGTCGACGCCATCGCTATGGAGCAGCAGCGCCATGGCAAGTTCACCACCGGCCACGTGATCAGCCACGGACGACGGCCCAAGGCGCTCGGCAGGCTCTCCGCTGCAGACTCGATGGCCAGAGACCCAGAGTCGGGCATCCCCCGGCTCTCGGTCGGAGATGTGGTGCCGAAAGCCTCGGTCCAGGCGCCGCGCGGCCGGCGCTGGAGCCGCCGCGTCCTCGTCGCCGTCCTCGGGGGCGTCGCACTCGCGGGGATCCTGGGCCTGGGCCTCGGCCTCGGGCTGTCTGCGCCCGGCCGAAGCGACGGCGGAGACGGGTCCGGCCTGCTGGCTCCAAATCCACCTCCACCGCCGCTGCCCTCACCGCCACCCTCTCCGCCTCCATTCTCCCCGCTTGAGGCCGAGGTCGACAACGAGGTGGTGCTCGATCTGAGCAGCGGGGTTCTCCGCAGCGACCGACGGGTGACTGCCGACGAGATTATCGATGAGATCGTAAAGGGCATCACCGACCAGGGCCAGCCGGCGCCCGTATCCATCGCCGTGCTCCAGCGGGTCGAGGTGATTGCAGACCAAGGAGACAAGGACGACACCGAGTTCGAGGGCGTTCTGTGCGACACGCTCTCCACCGACTACGACCGGAGCCGGTGCAGCGCGACCAAGCAGGCGTCGAGCCGCCGACTGCTCGAGGAGCGCGCTCAGCGGCGGTCGCTCGCGCTGGCAAGCTGGAACATGGAGGTGATGCTACAGCCAGGTAGTCCACACCTCGTCGCGGACGGCCCTGACCTCGACGCCGTCGAGGGCGTCTCGTCGGCGACGCTGCAGGCGGTGGCCATCGAAATGCGAACCATCGTGAGGCCATCATCGCAAGACAACCTCGTCGAAGACGCGATGGCAAGCGGCGACGCCAAGACAACCATAGCGCGAGATGCCTTGGCTTCACTCCTCTCGCCCAACATCACCGATCCGTATAACTTCATCTCCAACACCAGCTCGTATGTCTACCCGCCCTTCCCGCCGCCGTCGCCGCCGTCGCCGCCTCCGTCTTTGCCTCCCAGCCCGCCGCCACCTTCACCACCGCCGTCACCGCCGGCGCTACCGCCATCTCCGCCGTCACCACCGCAGGCTCCTTACCCACCGTCACCACCGCCGTCGCCTCCGTCCCCTCCGACGCCTCCCTCGCCTCCGACGCCGCCCCCTCCCTCGCCGCCACCGCCCAGTCCGCCGCCGCCCTCGCCGCCGCCGCCCTCGCCTCCACCGCCATCGCCGCCACCGCCGATGCCGCCGCCCCCTTCTCCACCGCCACCATCACCGCCACCACCGAGCCCTCCTCCACCGTCGCCGCCGCCTCCGTCGCCGCCACCGCCCTCACCACCCCCGCCCTCGCCCCCGCCCTCACCCCCGCCGCCATCGCCGCCGCCGCCGAGCCCACCGCCGCCGAGCCCGCCGCCGCCCAGCCCGCCGCCCT